GTTTCTCTGTATATTGTTCTGTCCCACATTATTACTTCTGTCTTTCATGGAATCAGGGAAACCAATTATCTGAAAACAATTTTCTTTCTCATGTCCAAGCCTAAGAAAATGAGTACACACTTCTCATTGTAAGACTTTTTCTTTGAATTCTTGTTACCTTGTCCATTCCTTTTCCCTGGAACATTTTGGTTTTTGCTATACAGGGCTGAATTCTCAACCTGACTTCCTGAACCACCCTGAACACCAACATTATTTAATGAATTGAAACCCCCACTAAAACTTTGTGGATTGATCTGAACATTTCCCTGAGCAATGAAAGCAGTTGTTTCATTCATTTGAGCATGTGCAATACCAGGTATCTTCTGAACTAATTAAGTACTTATAAATTAAGTGCGTTTGATAACTAAAATTTCACTATCTGAATTAAGTGCTTCTGAATGTCCAGTTCAATTGTGAGCCAGAAAATAAGTGATAGGCCTACCAATTATCACTTATCACTTAATTTCTTTAATGACTCTTTTTTTTCTTTTTTCTTTTTTTCTTTTTTTCCTTCGTCTTTATTTCGACGCTTATTTTTACATTGTTTTAAAATTTTTATTTTCTTAAGATGAATTAATTAAGAGTGCTTAAAGTTGAATTTATATTATGAGTATAAAAGATCTCAAACTTTTAAACTCAAATTAAACTAATTTTAATACATGAAAATTTGCTAAATAACAAGGTATACATATATATGTAATAATCTAAATTTAATTATATATTGATTATTTACCAAGTGTAATATTTACTTTCATTATATATACCAAAAAGTTATTTTAGAATTATGATTATATTATTTAGAACAAAATATAAGTTATTTTTCTATTTAAAAGAATTTTGTTTATAATTCAATTTTAATGATATTAAAGTTTTAAATAACTTTCAAACCTGAGTATTCAGATTCAGTCTTCAAACTTCATACTTCAGTCTTCAGACATCAAATTCATACGTTTTTATCAAACAATATAAATTCAGTCTTCAGACTTCAGACTTTAGTATTAAGTGTTAAGTGTTCAGATTCAGACTTCAGTGATTATCAAACGGAGCCTAAGTAAGAAAATAAAAAGTGATTTAAGTTAGAAACTGTTTTCAATTCTCGCAACCTTTCTGAGCACGCAGTAATAACTTAATTCAGTGTTTATCTAATCTCTTAAACCAAGATACTGTATAGTGTATATGTACTACGTACTTGGCTAATTAGTTGAACATCAATGTTGGATGCAATTTTCAAAAGTTGTGCACAAAGCGACGGTATTCGTATTTGAGTAGAGAGTTTCTTCATCCTAGTAGGCAGGTTTTGTAGGTCAGTACCAGGGTTTACACTAAATGCTGCATTAGTTATGTAAACTGATCCGAATGAGAAAGAAAGTTTAGAACTATCCCACAAATTTCTATATCAATCCATGGATTAGGACAAAGTTTAACCCAAACAATAACAATGATACGGTATGCCTAGTCTTTTCGCTCCTAAAGCATGAAATGTTGAAAAGTTGGCTGATGATTTTGGTCCCTTTTTTTTTTTTTTTGACAATGTACAAAATAAATTTCTACAAATTTTGTTGGAAGTTGTTCAACACTAAGATGTAATTATATATTAACAATTACTATAATTTATTACAAACGTTAATCCAAGAACAACACACACTGTGCTTAGTATCAATAAATCTATGTTGGTCTTCTCAATTAAATAGGGGATATATCCCGAGCTAGACCTTAAACATATCACTAATATTCTGATAAAAGTCCCAAATTGTAGATCTGTGAAAAAATCTACAAAATTTGAATCCTCTCAAACAACATGCAATGAACAGAAGAACCGTGACATCGAAGCACTACTCAATCAGTAGAGCAAAATCTATTGAATGACGAAACTTCCCAATCGATCTGTAGATCACCATCTACTAAAAGACACAACTTAGTAATTAACAAGTGAGGATGATCCCTCTTATTAAATTGGGAAAAAAAAAGAAATATAAAAGAACGAAAAGATGAAATTAAACTATTGTCCCATCCTCCCATGGGGTACGAAGTTTTTATTGATTTTGAAGAGACAAAGAAGGATGCCACTAGCCTTCAGAATAATACTCTCTCCGTCTCAGAAAAATAGTCCAATTTGAAAATATATAAATTTTTTTATTTGGTCAACACACCAAATGTATAATTCATTTTATGCTCCTAATTTCCTCTAATGCCCTTCTAGTTATTTCTATAAAAGTTAACTACATATGTATTTATTTTACAACTTAAATTTGATCAAAATTTTTATCTCAAAAAATATTGACAATTGATCTTGATAGAAAAATCTCGTTACGTAGATTAATTTGATATATAACCCATTTTTTAATTATTATGTATTAAAAGATATAATCATTTGAAAAAAATAGGAGAAAACTAAAAAAAATGAAAATCAAAGGAAGTGGACCTTGTCTTCTTTACCACTACTCTTTTGGATATTTAAGTCATTTCAAATTCAATTAATTTTGAGTTTTGTGAAACTGGACTATTTTTTGGAGACAAAAATTTTTATTACACTGGACTATTTTTCTGGGACGGTGGGAGTATCTGGTCATTTTAGTTGTTTCAGAAAATAAATGTACTGACTTTAATTCTACATCTTTTTGTATAAGTTTAGAAATTGGATGCATAATATTACTGGCTTACACCTCATGAAAACGCATTCGATACAGGAGTTGGCTTATACCACTTTGTAGCAATTATGTTACTAAGTCTATTACAAGGTATTCATTCTATCCGACAAAGTAATATACATTGTACTTTGTACTACTAAAAATAATACAAATTATACATTGTAATTTTTATTTCTTTTTTTTAGGATGGCAAGACTGAAGAAGTTCTGTAGAAGATTCAATCGCCAGATAAATAATATTTGTCATATGAGCCGCGACTTTAATTTTTAATAATCCAACATATTCTAGCACAAGGGGTTAATTAAAATGGAGGACAAATTAATTAGGTCAAAGTACACATAATAGGTCACTTTAAGCTCTACTTTTCCAGCTTAGTAAGTGATCATTTGAGGACGCAGTTAATGCGGTCAGCTCTGACCATTGTCCAATTTATATCTGATTTATAACATTAAAAATTTTGTCATGGCAGAGAAGAACAGCTGGGCTGATCAAATTCAGTAGCTCAGTAATGATGAGTTCCCTCTCAAACTTTCTGCGCCTTGCTTTCATGCTTAGATCTCTTTTGATTATGACTCAAACTTTTCAATTATATCAAATGTTGGCTGGAACATTTGTTCTCCTTCAAACATGAATATTATAAGATTGTTCCCAAAAGCAATGCATTTAGCAAAGGTGAGTAGTGAGAGAGAAGGAATCGTGGAAATATAGAATTGTAAAAGGTGTACAATGATTACTAATGTACAACGAGGAAGACCTTTTCGTTTATTATTATTATTTAGTTTTTTCTATCCAAGTTAGGATAAAGAAAGTTCAATGAGTCTGTTTTCAGTTTCAAATATAATTTCTAATTAATTAAGTGCAACCTTATGTATGGTTGTAATAATATCATTCGATCTAATGGACTTTGAGTTGCTTTGATTGCTCAATTTTGTATCAAAATATCAGTCTAAATTTTTCCTAATTTTCTAAGCTCAATAAAGTTTCAGATTAATAGTACGTGATGCTAATGAATGGCGAACCTTTGATGCAATTGTAAAGCTATTATTTCGTAACTGATTGATTATCTAGTTAAGATTAATATTGACACGGATGCTTCTTAATATTTTTGAAGCGCGAGTCTTTTGACACCGGTAATTCATAACGATCATGTTATGATAAGAATAATGGGTCTGAGTTCATCAACTACTAGTAATGTTGGAATCAATTCGAATATAATTCTCAAAAATTGTACAAGAGTTCTATATATTTGCCCGCAAAATTTTTTCATTTATTTATAACTATGAGAATCCAGTGGATTATTCACAGATTGCTCATGAATTGTCCATGCCAGATCGGTGTGAATTTTTAATTTTCAACTCTTCATGTAAATCAGCAGTATCGTACGCGTACTCCTTCCTATTCACCATACGTTTTCATTACTTCAAAAAATTAAAAAAATAATAATAATAAAATTTGAACAGTTTTCCATCTCGATTTCAAATTCTAATATTTTTAATTTATTCATCATCCTCATCCAAAGTAAACAAAATGTCGCCCATTTTGTATATCTCTAACACCCAAACAGGAAAAAGATCAAAAGAAAAAGCTAAGTAGTAGAAGTTTGATGTGATCTAACAAAAGAAAGGCTCAATGAAAAAAGGTTGGCCAGTTCTGATCATGACACCGTACGCCGAATAAACAAAGCATTAAGCATCTTTTTCTTTTTCGTCTTTTTTTTTTCTTTTTTATCATTGCGGAATTCTTTTTTTTTCTTAAACCAAAAAAAAAAAAAAAAAGATTTCTTTCCTTTGAGGGCCATTGAACAGATAAGAAGATGGCTCCAAGAATTGTTTAAAAAAAATTGGAAATGCTTTGTGATGAAGGGGGTCGGGTAAGCGCTAGCGTTACATGATAATAGCATCATATAAAGTTATAATTTAGGTCTCAAATCGAGTTATTGTGCCACATTCTTGTTCGGTTGTGACATTGATTTGTGTTTATAGATAATCTACAGAAATGCAAATCATAGTGTGTCAAATTGTATTGTATTGTAATAGTATTGTATTATCAAAAATTAACATTTTATTTAAAACTCGTATCGAAACAAAAGCCCATATTTCAAGAATGCAATTACTGTAACATGAATAAAAGAATCAGATCGCATATTCCAACCCCTTATGATCAAACCACCGAATGACTTGAATCATGTCTTCTGATGAGAAACTTTCAAGTCAATCCTCTCGTGTGTTCATTACCTCATCTCTTTTCACCCCATTTGGCTCCATGCGTGGCTGCCAAATCACAAAAATGTGTACAAATCCAATCTACTTAATTTCATCATCCAACTCGTCATCACTATCTTCCTAGTAGTAACTTCTTGATTATCTCCACTTTTTAATCCTCAAATTTAATTGGGAGGATTTTGCATGCAAAAATTTTGAAGGGGACAAGTGTTAAAGCCCATTGAAACAAACCAGTAAATTCTCAACAAACAACATTTGAAAATGGTCAGTACTGCATGCATGGAAATTGGCAGCTGTGAAAATGACTATTAGAGGAGAAGAAGGAACGAGGCAAAATCAAAAGAAAAGAAAAGAAAAAAAATTAAATAGGCCCCAATTACACCATGGCTGTCACTGCCACTACCACAAACCATTTCCTCACATGTCACTACCAAAAGAAAATGCCTGCAGAAATGCAGATTAAGCCCCCACATAATTTAAGAGATTAATGTGTTTCTTTTCTTCTCCTTTATTTTTAATTCTTTTGGGTTTGTTGCAAAAGTAGCTTTCAGGATTAGTTTTTCATATGTAATTTGCTTTTTTTGGGGAGCATGGTTAAGGGAAGTCATCTAGATTTAAGACAGATTCTTGGACCATTTTTCTTTTGTCCAAAGCAATTTAACAGTGACTCGACTTCAATGAATGAATGCTGCCTCAATTATTTTTTTGCCCCCAACAATTGATGTGTCAGAGATTCCTAGTCTCTGATTCTTCATTTTCACCTGAATATTCCTACTGTATGTCTTCTAGTGCTTGGTTTTTTGGTTGTTTCAGGCAAATTAAACTGTCTTGGACAGTATTACTGCTACTGAAATTCCCTCTGTTTTTGGTTCAAGGAACTTTTTAGTTAGCTTTCTCCATTTGGGCTGGTGTCAAATCTTCTGCTTTTACAGCCAATCTAATTGGAGCTAAGAAATTATTGATTTAGTTACCTAATGGGAAAGAAAAGGAGTTGGCTTTCTTTTGTGAAAAGGCTCTTCATTCCACAGACTAAACCAAAGATAGAACAGGTAAGATTTGATTTTCATGTTTTCTTATGATCTGTGTGATTTAATTATGAAATCAATGTAATGTTCTTGATTTTTTTTTTTCCCCCAGAAATCCAAGAAATGGGGATGGGTTTTTAGGAGGCTCAAGTTTAAGCAGTACCCTGAAATTGGTGCCCCTCCACAGAAGACACTGAGTGAGGCAACTGAAGAACAGAGGAAGCATGTTCTGGCTGTTGCCATAGCAACCGCAGCCGCCGCGGAGGCCGCCGTCGCCGCCGCCAATGCGGCGGCTGAGGTTGTCAAGCTTACCCATCTCCCTCAAGAAATTCTAAGGAGAAGAAGAAGAAACTTGGCTGCCACCAAAATTCAGAGTGCTTATCGCAGACATCTGGTCAGCATCACAATTCTTATTATTTATTTATTTATTTTTAATTTGGTTGAAGATTGATTCTATAGTGACCAGACCCTTTTGATATATCATCTAGCAATTTGTAAAAGATTATTTGGATGCTCTTTTCGAATGGCAATCAAAATATATTTTTTTGAATATATCATTTGTAGATATTAAGATTGCTCTGTTTCCAATTGGGTATTTTTAGGCCATGAAAGCATTAAGTGCTTTAAAGGGGCTGGTGAAACTACAAGCAGTGATCCGAGGTGAACTAGTAAGAAGAAAGGTGCTGCTTAAAATGAAGTTCAAGCCAATATTGTTTGCTAAGGCAGAGCCTCAAATGTGTCGAATTCGGTTGCCAGTTATTGAAAAAGATCTTACAAAGGACGAATGGAGGCTAAAACTTAGCGCGGAGAATCTAATGGAATCTGAAGAAGTAAGAGTAAGTGTAACTAGTTTTCTTGCAAAGCTTTTGTTCTGTCATCAAGTTACTGTATGAATGGTAGAGTGATTATATCGCTGATATAAACAAGTAGTAAAAAACCATGTTCCCTCCCTCCGGAAACGTGTTCTGTTTTAGACTTTTAGTACAACAAACAATAAAATCATTTTGGGATAAAGGGATAGATCAAAGAACAGAATTGCAGTTGTATTTACTAGAAACTGCAGTTTGTTAATGAATTTGAAAAGCTTGGCACCTCCTTAGATTGGGCGGTGAAATGGATTTTTAATATCAAACTGTAGGCCTCCCCTGTTGAACACTTGAACTGTTTATTCTTACCTTTTAGCATTTGAGGGGGACAATGTTTCATAACTTACCACTGGATCATAATCTTCATGAGCAGCTTATTGGCAACCAAAACATGAGGTGGGATTTCAGCTTGTCATCAAAGGAGGATATGGAAGCCATGTGGTTTAGAAAGCAAGAAGCCATTATCAAGAGGGAGCGTATGAAGAAATACTCGTATTCGCATCGGGTAAACTTCCTTTTTTTTTTTCTAGATGCTTAATGATTAGAAGTTTGCTGGCAATTGCCAAAAGATCAATTGTTTGGGACTTATATGGTCGAAACTCATAAGTAATCGGAAGTTTTGCTCATATTTAGGAGAGAAGAAATGATCAAACACTTGAGGAATGGATGGTAAAGGAAAGTGGAAGAAAGAGCTGTCAGATTAGTAGATGGAAACAGGTAGAAAACCTAGAAAGAATTGAAAAGGAAAGATCGAAATCATCCGCCATACATCCAAACGAATTCGCAGGCGAAACGGATAAAATTAGACAGCTGAAGCTGATTAGTAACACAAGCAAACAGGACTTGACAGAAGCCCTGAACTCACCTTCCCTAATGCCTAAGAGATCATCTTGTCATGCGAAACAGAACTCAAATGTTGAATGTGAGGTCTCAGAAAAAAGAGAAAAGGAAAGATCCAAATCAGTTTTAGGTTCAAGTGCTTTTGCAGTGGATGCAGAGAAGACCATGAGACAGCTGAAACTGATCAGCCATGCTTACAAACAGGATTCAAAGGAGTCACTGAATTCACCCTTTTCGTTCTCAAGGAGATCTTCTCTCGACCCGAAACAGAAATTCATCAGCGAAGATTTCTCCCAGCCTAATTCTCCTAGTTTCCCAACCTATATGACTGCCACCGAATCTGCGAAAGCTAAGATAAGGTCGATAAGCACCCCAAAGCAAAGATTATTACTATCCGAGTCATTCTCAGGCCATCATTCTCCTCACAGCATCAGGATCTCCCCAAGGAATTCTTCTGATGGAGAAGGGTCCAACAGTAGCAGAAAGATTGGCATTTCTCAGCCACTTCACTGCAGCTCCAAAGGATCTTATTGGGATTAACATTCGTGACCATGATGACATTGAAGAACACAATGCTGCTTTATCTGTATCTGAATTGAACTATTCAGCTGCGTAAATAATTCATAATTTTTTTTTTTGAGCATATTTCTTTGATTCCTACTTTTCTTTGGCTTTGGATGAACTGGAGAGGGTTTCAATATTCTAGTAAAAAATTCTTGTTTCTTTCTCACATTCCATCCGATTTTGAAAATGGTAACAATGAAATATCAGATTCCAAATTTCAGCAAGAATTGAAGGGCATTTTTATCATCCGTACTTTGTTTAGCCCAGCTGACTTCATTTCGGACTACAGAACACTGCCATAGTTTTTATCATTGTTTTGGACCTAAACATTTTACGGTAATTAAGCAATGAGAAAATTGTAAAAGGACCTGTAATATGAAGGGCCAATATTATCATCAAAACTAGGAAAATCATGGTGGGCATAAACTGTGATGATGCTATAGCCATTCAGGACAAAAGGAAAACAGGAATAAGTACTAGAGAGTTTAGTAAATATGATTGTGTAGACTTGTAGAGAGTAAAGCTTCAAAATTCGCAGGTTGCGGGGGGCGGGGACAATTGCAGGGAGAAAGATTACCATGATTGCCAGGTCAATAACGTTCTGCATAGGGTTATTTTGTGCTTAAACTTATCTCAAATGAACCGCTAGAATCTTAGGTTGACTAACAAATTGAGTTAAGTATGTTTATTTACAATGCAATTAATTTACATTTAAAACAAAATTTTAGGTTGACTAACAAATATTATAATTGGCATTGAAGTGTGGCGGTGGAACATCATCATACGTAGCGCGGTATCAGAAGCTTAATTTTGTGATTATATGCTCTTAATTTGGGAGCGACAAATCCAATGAAAACATCAATTGTTATTAGATCTAACAATTTGGTATTAAGCACTTAGTGGAATATGACATAAGTTGGTGTCTCATATTCAAGTAACGTAATCATTTGATTTATTTAGAGGTTTTGATCTCTTTCATTGCACAAATTTCCTGTCACAATTGCAAGAAAGAAAATAATTTTACGAGCATTAATAATATCGCTTTTGACTGGATTGCCTTATTTGGTCATGTTCTCACTCTTTCAGTACAATCTTTCTTTCTTTAACTTTTTTCTTCTCCCAAAATTTGAAATTTGACATTGACATGTCCAAAAAAGGGAATTGTGATTTGGCTGAGGTTGATATGAAGATTAAATATCAAAGGCATAATAAATGACTATGTGGATCAATCAAAATCAGTCGATTACATCTTCAATAAATTAATTTAGCCATTAGTCATTGTAGTATACCTAACAAATATATATATATATATATATATATATTCTTCAGGTCCCCATATAACTGCACCGTGTGGACTTTTACTTTTACTGTAATAGAAATGAAAATCTAAATGCAACGATCATTACATAATGGATGGAGAATATATATATTTAAAATATACTTTCTGATTTTCTTGCGGTACATGCAATTTTTAATGAGAATTTTTCATCAAAAAAAGTTTTTCATCATATCAGCTTTGCCAAAATCAATGGTAGCCTTACTATAAAGGAAGTAAAGCATTTGTTTTAGTCCCTGGTGTTGGGTAAGGTCTCAAATTATCTGACATTAATCAAAAAAAAATTATTTTCTCTTTTTTATAAAAGGTAAAAAATGAACTCGACCAATGTAAATTGTAAAAAATGTTACATTTATGTTGATAATGTAAATTTAAAATCAGTTAACATAAAATAGCTCCATTATTCATTCAAATTCCATTAACACTTAGATGATAGGTATGTTGATGCTTAATTTATTATAGGATTATAAAAATCTTAGTTAATATAATTAATTATAAAACTCGATATTTTATATACAATTGATTGTTCATAAGGAAATTTTACAAGTTAAACGAATTGAAACAATTTAACACATTGTGACTATCACACTAGTTGAAAAAAATCAAAATGAATTGATTTGTTTAGCAACACTAACTAAAGATTTTACGTCTAACAAATTTTAACAAAATGATATTCACATGAATTAAAAAAAGAGCAACACATTTATATAACAAATTAACAACTTCTGTTGGGCCGGAAAGCCTCATAGAACAAATTAACAAATTTTAAATTTCACATGAGGAACATTAACTTTAGATAGCGTTATAAATTTTTAAAAGAATCCAGTTTTATATTCGATTTAGGCCTTATTTAAGGTCGAGCCACCCTTGCTCATGAACAACTTCTGTCTGGCCGGAAAGCCTCATAGAACAAAGAAGCTATGATCAAGAGGGGCGCATAGTATATGCGTATTTGAATCAGATGTACACTTCTTTGTTTCTCAGATGTTTGGTGATTATGTACTATTTTATTGGTCTGTACTAAAAGAAATGTTTGTTGGAAACTTTGTGGTAATTACTCAAAATTTTTAAACATATTACTTTTAGGAGAGAAGAGATTATCAAACCTCGGGTTGCCAATACATGAGAAAATACGAGTAAAGGGACCGATTTCTAGCCAAAAGATGCACAATGGGATTGATAAACCATCCAACTTCAGGTCAAAATATGCCTGCTGATGGTGGATAACTGTTTTGGTCTAGTCCAGTTTTAAAATTTTAATTGATGTGGAAGTAGGCATAAGATTTCAATTTGGGTTATTTTAGGACATCATTTGCTAGTTGATGTTATTAGTTCTGGGAAACAAAGAAAAAGAACTCTGAAATTCGATCGGTCACGGTTTGTACTTCGTACTATTATTTTCCCTATATATATACAAGTTAGTCGAAATAACCCTGGCCAAAACCATGGCGGAGGACAGTTGTATATCTGAGTTGCCTTAAGAAATACTTCATATAATATTTTCCTTTCTCACGAATAAAGAAGCAATCCAAGCAAGTCTTGTATCAAAGGACTGGTACGACGCATTCCTCACCATTCCCACACTGGTTTTCGATGTCGGCTGATCTGACGAACTCGGTTTCATAGTCTCCATGATGCGGAGGTACAACTGTGATGGTATTAGCTTAGAAAGCTTGAAATTCTCAAGTTTTTGAAATAGAAACCCTAGTTGAGTTAAGTATACAATGGTTGCGTTTGAAGTACCTTCGAAAAGTCATATGCCATAACCTTAAACGACTTAATCTTCACCACGTGAACTCAGATCCCTCGGTGTTGGAACAAATAATCAGAAATTGCTACCCTTGCCTTGAAGAGTTGACCGTTGGTGGTTTCTGTTGTTGTCGGGGTTTGAAAAGTATCAAAATTTCTAGTGTTTCCCTACAAAAAATAAAGTTGATAGATATGCACGGATTACAAGAAGCATTGTTTGATGTTCCTAACATCGTTCTCTTTGAGTATGAAGGAGAATTACATCTAGATTATCATTCTCGGCCGCCACGGCCACCACCTCGATGGCTAGGTGGACATCTCGCCTCATTGTAAGATGCACTACAAAATATATAAACCGTCATGGTTTTTCAAATTGATTGAATGGCTCACAGGACTAAGCAAGTGCAAATTTTTCGTGTTCACTTCAATTTTGGAATGGAACGGGATAACTTTGATACACTTCCCACGGAGGAAGAGTTCGATCTTCCTAGAGAAAAAAGATGACTCTGACATTGGTCCACATGAATGACACGCACTTATATCCCTTAGGAGATTGTAAGCCCCTAAAACATAATTTACCAGGTTTAAGTTAATTTACCATATGTTATGAAAAATGAGTGTTGTTTGTATTTTTCAAGACCTATTACTTCTTTTTTTGGGTAAAAGGTACTGTGTATTTCATCATCAAAATGAATCTGTACAAACTGTTTTTTACGATGAGCTTTATGGCTGAATACCTAGACCTGATAAGAATCTTATATCATCACCACTAACATTTATGTATATCATTTTGATTTTTCATTTCAGTTCTTCTATGATCTTTTGAGTTATTTCTTTAGCTGTTTCCATTTTACCACTATATCTTTTTTGATTCCGTTATGTCTATACTGCATATATTACATCATTAATGCATGTATATAAGACTTTCTTCTTAACTGATCTCCTTCTCCAGATCCTGAAAATGTCATCCCGCTTCAATTTCTAAGATGATATTTGAGCCCTATCCATTTCCTGATTTCCTGCCATGCTATTTTTGAAAATTCACACTGAAATAGGAGAAGATCTAAGGTTTCATCAGTTTCCTTGCACAACACTCATCTTTTATCTTAAACTTCAATATGCATCCTTGTGAGCCTATCCACTATTAAAAGTCTTCTATGCCAAGCCATCCAACTTATGAAACAATGTTTAGGAATGGTGAACTTCCTCCTCTAATGTCTGATGGGTGTCGAGACCACAAAAGAAAACCTACTTAAAACTACAGACAGTGGTAAACACGATCGATCCCACAGGGACATGTAAAACTCTAATAAACCCCAAATGACTCAAGTCACAAAGAAATAGAAAAGACAGATGACTTGCGAAAGTGAGAAAGTGACTTAGCAAAGTGTTATGGGGATCTTAACCTATCTTCTCTCTAGTTGGTTGCTACTTTTGTGGTATGAAACTGTGTTCAATAAGGCAGAACAACACTACAAGGTCACTTCCGATTGTTTCAGACAGTAGTCCTAATAGTAACAAGTAAACTAACTTCCATTGTCGACTCTGAATTACTACTAAGCCATTAAGAACTTTAGCCCTTACGATTGCCTCGTGCCAAACAACTAACTTCCGTTGTTGTTTGAAACCTTGGGGCTGTTATCCCCTCGTCACCGATTAATCTTAGACATTCTAAATTAAGTTTATCCTTCCAGGATTTGCCTAACATGCAAGCAGAATTGACTAGGTGATCATTCTAATCAAAAGGATAATTAAGACTCTAAGGCTAAGCACACAAATATCATCCAAGTGCAACCATGTATATTAACTAGAGAGATTCAACTAATTAAGACCCCATAAACAGTTTAGCTACACATATAGAACTTATCCACATAGCCAATGACATGATTAAACACAAGAAAATATAGAAAAGGAAGAAAACAGAGTATGGAGACAGTCTGCTAAAAGCTGCTACTGGCCGGCCACTTGGGCAAGTGAGAAACTCACTTCCCCGAGTGGCCGCCCTTCTGCTGCCTATTGCCCCTCTTCTTCTCTCTCTACGGTATCAATCTAAGGAT